CTCTCGCTCTCTCTCTCGCTCTCTCTCTCGCTCTCTCTCTCGCTCTCATGCTGAATGCAAAATTGAATCATTATGTTGCTGCCACCTAGGACCACCTTCACTGAAACCATTAATTGATAATGTCTCTTTGCACAATATTAGGTCGAGTTTAGCCTTCTCTCTAGTTGCTTTTGCAATAAATTGTGCTGGAAACATTCTAGGGAACTCCTCATCTAAGCTATCTTTGCCCATCAAAATGTAGATTAAAATCTCCCATGATTATCAGTATGCCTTTTTGAAAAGCTGTCACTGTTTCCTTTTTTTTGTTTTAAAACATTGTGTCTCGCATTCCTTCACCCTTGCTCACTCCCAGTTGTCCGCTTACATGCAGGCACACCTTCGTGTGATTTCTGTTAAGGGACTTGTACACTATTCCCACAAGTGACTTCTTGCCTTTTATTATTTCTCATTTACCAAAACACTTTTCTCAACATGGATTCCTGACTTTGGGTCATCCTTCTTTAAAGTGCTAATAACATCATTAACTAATAGAGCCACTCATACCTTTTTTTTTCATATTTTCTTCTTATTTCTAAATGTCCTTCACACTTCTGTTCCCCATCCATGTCTCGATAATGGCTATCAGATCATAATTGTTCATTTCTGTTTGTTCTCTGTTCATCATCTGTTTTTCAAATGCTACGTGTATTCAGATACATGATTGATTTAATGTTATATGCTTTTCCTCTTGTAAATTGTACTTTTATCTGTTGGTTGACTCTTCAATTTATGATTTCTATACCTTCCTGTTTATCACTTCCTGTATTACTTTCTTTCCTTTCTCTTTGGCCTTACCCTAATCTGTGATTTACTGCATCTTCCTAAATTTGATCCTTTGCCCCCACTATTCAGTTTAAAATCCTCTCGACTTCCCTAGTCATTCAGTGGCAAGAATACAGGCCCTACCACCAATCAGATAGAGCGATCTCAATACAGATCCCACTTTCTCTGGTACTGGTACCAAAGTCCCATGAACTGGAGATAGTAGGAACTGCAAATGCTGGAGAATCTGAGATAACAAGGTGTAGAGCTGGATGAACACAGCAGGCCAAGCAGCATCAGAGGAGCAGGAAGTCTGACGTTTCGGGCCTAGACCCTTCTTCAGAAATGGGGGAGGGGAAG